CAGTCCCCGGGTTTCCGTCAGCCTTATGTTCTACTTGAAATCAAATTGCACGAAATCAGCGAATATACACTCATTTGCAAATAATTTCCCGAATTTACTTTGTTTTTGAAGGTGGTTAAAAGTAGCTGATGCTTATAATCGTTCTTGACAAATATGAGCTAGAATAATGACCGGAGGGAAAGTAGGAACTTATGTAAGTGAACCTAGAAAAGATTTGACTGTATCAACTGCTGCAAACCAAAAACAGAGAGATATCTTGTTCGTCCGGGTGACTAGTACGTCCTGGTAGTTGAGCTGGGTAATAGTGATTGCCAACGCTTCATCACTAAAATGAGCAGAAATATCAGTGAGTTTTTTCAGAGTGGAGGACAGTGTAGCGATGTGTCACTGTATGTTAACGTAGGTGCTGCTAGTCGGGGTTGACCTTCGGTTACGACTGTTTCTTCAGCAGAATGGTTCTATTGACTTTATCTTGTAGATAACCGTGTGGCGTTTAAGCTTGGACATTCGGTACGAAAGTGTTAGTTGTGAACATCCGAATCTAATGAAAATGAAAGAAACACTTCTAATAATGTCGTTTAGCGACAGATATGCAGATATCCGTGGGTTGAAGGTCACTGGCATTAACACTGGTACACAATTCTGAAGTTGAATCCAGTCAATTGAAACGATAACGACAGTGAAAACTGTAACAGAATATGCACAAGGTAACCTTGTAAATCAAATTCATTCATTCCTTAGGTCACGGACACACTGACTGCTATCGAACAGTCAATGGTCCCATTCAGATTGTCAATGTTCCTTGTGGAGGATCCGATTAGCATACCGAACTGTGGTTCGGATTCGTAAGGCTTCGACAACGTTTTCACCAAACTTCGAACTACTGGTAATTTTCGTGAGTAACTCATGTACTGGCAAGAACAGAACTAACCAGCATTTCAACTAACGTTTACTGATACTCGTTTTCATCAGCATGAAAGAGCGATTCGGAATGTTCCAGTTGACGAAAACAAGTTTTCACAATATAATTTACAATTTACCCCTTTGTCTCCAGTCATCCTAATTAAGTTTAATCTAATGATTTTACAAGGTAGAGGCAAGCCTGCAGTGTCAATCAGCTTATACTCGATTCAGCTTCGAAGTGTGTCATCCGAAAGTTAAATGAAATGTCTGGGATGAGTCAGCGGACTCTCACTCCAACAGAAGTAGGTTGCGCTAAACATGCGCAGCAATACTATGTGATAACACGAATCTATGCTCCAATTTCCACTTTTCCTTCACACTCGTACTCGTGACAATAACGACTTTATAATGGACTTTTACAGGTTTTCCAGTGCATATTGAATGAAAGCATGCTGAACCAAGTGTTTAAATCACATGGTGGTAGGTTGGGCGGAAGTACAACATATCCGTGACAAGTAAGATACTGTGTCGATGCCTGACGAATTCATTAGTATGGCGTCGCTCTACTTTATTGCGGATATCTGACGATTATCCTTAGTAGTCTTTTTCGTTGGGAGATTGTACCGACTCATCTACTAATATACTGTCATTTATTTTTGAAGATCACGGTCACAAACATGAAAAGTGAATGCAAGCAACGAATGTGAAAGGGTAACAGGAGAATCTGAGATAAAAGGGAGAAACATCTCATTCAAATTCATGCCACCAACAGTTCCAGTCAGATGAAATGAATCCCAACGTGTACTGATAGTTATTCCCTGTATGCTTTGTAACATTTGACCCCTTTGTCATGCACGTGATACAGTTTTCACATATTATAGCAATTGTCCATTGTAACAGAGGGTCAAGAACTGTTACCTGCAAATTACGTTACCTAATAGTTGGTTTAATCACGATTGTGTTGTGAGAAGTTTCTCTGCGTACCCGAGCAGAAGCAGCCCAACAAGTAGGAAATGATGTCCAACTTTCACATTTCAGACTTGTCTAATTTGGGACTAACCTTTGTCTAACTAGGACATAGTGTGATTCATTCCGAACTGCATATGACTAATGGACATTTGTCTGTGGGGACACTTGGAATTACTAGAGATCAGTGCAAAGAGAGGTATTGTAGATGCGTTCCTGGCTTTCTGGAGATTGTTTTCAAGAAGGGCCACCCTCAGGATTGGACCTCTTTTAGCAAGCAGGTTCTTTTGGTGTTTGTGTAGATTAGAAATTACCCCTCAGTTTGATCAAGATCCATTCAACTACCGACTGAGATATTATTTTACAAGGGACTAAAATCCAAAAGCTTTCATAGTCTGTCTTCAGTCATCTTGCTTTAGTTTGCACAATTCGGCGTAAAAACCGTTTTGTTGACCAAGTTTTACTGAATTTCCACACCGGGGCAGCACTATTTGGGAATCTGCATAAGATGCTGAAAACAGATTTCCGCTAGATCAAGAAATATCTTGACAATTACGGTAAACACTGCAGTGCAATCGATCAAAATTTATGCCACCGTAAATCAGTTTAACGCCACACCCAGAATTGGGAAACCAAGCTCTCTGATTACTGGTATTTCATTGGTCAATTCACCCAGCGATCGTTTGACAATAAAGCATGAGGATTAGGCAGGGCAAAATGTAAGGATACGTCTTGGCGTTCTGAAACGGGAAAGACGATGTACCTATAGTGGCAGTCGTTTACTCACCTTCATGAGTTTTGTGCAGTAGAGTATATTGGTGTAATTTCATGCAATTTGCACTTATGCAGAACGTAAGATTGACGGAAATTCGGAGACTTTATTTTACCTGATGAGCTCCGAGAAGGGTGAAACCGGTCGTGAGCTGTCGAAGATTCTTCAAAAACCTCTTTACTTATGTTCCACTTCTGTATAACAGCCTATATTTCAGTGAAGGCAAGTGATACACCTGTTAGACAATCCTTTTTTAAATGCGAAAATTGAATGCTGAGTTAATCGTTTTCATGAAAAACAATGCCTTACTGAATCTATAGAAACAAATCAGATTTGAAGACATCCATTCAAAAAGGAACCCAAACCACACATCGTGGCAGTATATCCGTCAGAATTACTGTAGTGCATCAAATCGTGGGTATTTCCTAAATCTCTTCTCTGGTTAGAAGAGATCCACTGCTCCGAAACATATTTAGAATAATGGAGAGTTTGCGTTGTAAGTGAAGCCAATCTATAATGAAAAGCGGAGAAGCACTATACAGCACTTTTGACCTTATGATAATCGTAAGCGATGGGCATATCGCGAAATTCCATTGAGTCTCGAACACACGGCCTCACAACTAGTAGCCGTTCATTCAAGACGTTCGGTTCACAGTACGGAATTTCTAATAAAATTCTCGAATCGGCTCGAACCATCGACGTATTTGGAGTGTTAGATTGTTGCATGCAGAACAGGCAACTAGCTCTTACAAATACCTAGTTCTGGCTATCACGTAGCATTCTCAGCCTGCAGGAATTTGGCATTTTTAATCAGGATGTAAGATTTTTCAGTGTGAATGAATTTTTTTCGCTTTAAGAAATCTTGAAAATGTTTGGCATAATTAATGATCCCCTGCGGACAGAACACCTAGCCGGTATTTCATCCGTTACACATGGACTTCACTTTGAAGCTCTAAGGTCTTGACGAATGAAAAAGGCTTTGTGGGGCTAAAAACCGGCCTGAATGGGATTGGTTTACACGATACCATTTCCAACGTTCCCCTTTTGTTCTGGGCTGACTGCGTGGGCGTGGTCAAGATGTTTATCTTATCATCTGCCTCTCTATATAAGGTTCTTGTTGAATCTGATTAGAAGGACAGTGGCGTAAACAAACTCGAGGGATTTTGGTCCCAGACTATTTTGAATAGGTGTGAAATATTTCGCGGAATTCTCCTGTTGCTCCTCATAGACAAAGGAAATGACAAAAAATGTGAGTCAGTCTGCCTCCTGATCCATTTGAATGCTACTTCATAGAATGTTACCGTGCTGTTTCATATATCGATAAAAGGTTTCAAGGGATTATGGTGCCCTTCAAAATAAATAGCTTTTAGAAAATAAGCAAAAGCACATGTATTCCAGTAAACCCAATGTTTGGCGGCAACCAAAAAGCATGTAACGGAAACAACTAAAGCCAAAAACCATCACGTCGATACAGACAGCAAAGTTAAAACCTGTGTCGATTGAGGTGTGACTTTTAGTACCTGATGCAGTATTGTGGCTTAACTATGTTAACTAACTATGTTAACTATCCGTCCGCTGTTTTGTGTCTCCACGTTTAGCCTTCTGTTTTTCTTCTCCTGAGGAACAATGCACTTTTGACAGCTTCGTGAGCGTTGGTCAAAATGTGAAAAACCAGCAGCTGGCCGGCAGCAAGATGGCTATAGGGGAGTCATTTTCGTGGGCCAGCTTGACAGCTTACGCGGCTTAGAGCAGGAGACAGCGGCGGATCAAAGAAAGAGTAATAGCCGCTTAAAAGGCTGCTAACTGAGTTCGTTTCCTCACGTAATGCAGAAAACTTGAATAAATTCCTAATTCATGTACCATAATACAAATATACGCAGTGAATTTCACAGAAATCAGGATAATCGCTGACAGTCAGCCTAAAGAGTACACATCTCCAATAAGAATAGTTGGGTAGGATGCTAAACTAGCAGCCGGTTCCTGTTGTAGCAACCGATAAATAGTGAAATGAACCTAGCGGTTTCCCAATCCTTTCTTTTCTTCTGACCTGCTCAGGACAGCAAATCAACCTGTGTACTCCAAAAACACTTGAATTTACTGTACATAAGATCGTTTGAATTTGGGCTAATTACTGCTTGTCACACAGCGGAATAAATTCCTCCTCAAGATGTAAAATTTGTGGCTTGTGCTGTTTGAGGTATGCAGGGCAAAATTATTCATCTTTCAGTGATTTGTCACCTTTGGATGGTTGTCAGCACGACTGATCGGTCCTCAGTTTAGCTTGCAAAGTATGCCAGTGGATGATGCTCTCTGGATAAATGAACGATCGGAGTTTCGTTTAATATGACGGATGGGGGTTGAAGAATCGAAGAAACCATGTACACACGATACAAGCAAGACACAGTTAGATGGAATAATATTCCCTAGTTAGCCAGCAACAGCTGTATCAGCTGAGTCACATTGCATCCCAGCTGACGCGTCAACATTTTCTGGTGCACTTATGATGTAATTTCTGACGTGTTTGGCTTTAAATCAGTTATTAAGTAAGCTTGCTTATTTGAGCATTATTGTTTTTTATTTCAACAAATTTTAATCAAAACTCTGTATGATTCTTTCAGCCTTTATGAAGTTGGACCGGTAAGATTGTTAACCCCAAGATCTGACTGAACAGCGTCAGGTGGGGTTAAACAGTTCACGTTGCGTTTTTCATTTGACAGGCAGCGGATAGTTTTAACGGTGCGATGCAACCATGAGATGACACTCTATTGTGCTCAGTCGCCGGATAGCACCAGAATGTCCGGTGGCTGACTTTCAGTGACCTCCAAGTTCGTCCTACTCGCCACAAAAACGCACCTGTTTTCAACGTCCATATTACAAGGTTTTCGGAAAAACTAAGCAAGGACAGATTGGGCTGCAAACCGTTTTCTGGGTGTAAACAGAATAAGGATATGTAAACAATAGAGAACTTTTACTCGGATAACGTGCGCAAGTGGGACCACAGTAGTTACATTCCAAAATAGTTGGATCAGATTCAAAATTCGTTGGATTTGTTGATGTTTCAATATTTTTTCAGCGGCAAAAGATGGCATAGAAAATGACAACAATATATGAAAAGCGGACAAAAGAGGGTACGCAGACTAAGATTTGGTGTAGGTCTACTTTTGTTGTAATTGTTTAAAATGAGCGCTAAGTAGCCTCTTGAAAATAATGAAAGAGGGATAAATTATAAAAAGCAAAGAAAATCCTGAGATCAACGGAACCATTGCGAGAATCAGCGTTTTATTGTTTGACTTCCTGACAAGCTGGTTCCTAGGAGGTGAGATCTTGAAGTGTAACTATGTAAAAAAGCCTCAAAATACTGGTTGGGGCAAGAAGAAGTTCAACTCAACCTTTTGCTTTATTAGGAGCTGTGTAATTCTTTTGAGTATGGGGGGTTATACTCAAATTCAGTGTTTTTCCCACTCAATTTAGGCCAAAGAGAACGGTCTCATCAGGGGCAGAGCAAATATTTTAGGGCAACACTTTTCATGTTGAAATATGTGCATTTTTAGGAGAAGGTATCTATAAAATTCCTGTGGACAGGTAACAGAAGGTGTAAGATGTCTCTAAGGAAGTCTCAAGATGCTTCGATGACGATTTAAAAGCCATAAGAGAGTAGGACTTCACGGCCTTTATGGCTTAAATACCCTTTTGGACACGTGCCTAGAAATTCAAGCATTTCAGCAGGACTTTAGCGGTTTGATCTTGAGGTTTTTTCTTGAAAGCTTCGTTGAGAAAGGACAAGACTTATAATCGTTAAAACTATGCGGAGTAATAGACTTAAGCGAACCCCAATTTTCTCGAGAAATGGTTTTCAAAATTCAGGAACGAAACCGGATAAAACGATTACACGAAATTGGCGGATCTTGCAGGTCAGTGATTCTGGGGTAAAACTTAACTCACAGGTTTATTTCTGCTCGTTGAAGCAGCTTCTCCAGGAACTCAGGAGCTGCTAACTTATATATTTTTATGGATGAAAGAACGGTTTTTACCCTGTTGAACCGGTACATCAAGAAATTTTGTGTTGCCTCTAAATTTTGTGTGAAAAATATTCACACTCCATATCTCAAGGAATGCATTCCACGATGTTCTTTTAAACAACTGCCGTTCCAAATTCTTTCACTGTTCAATGGTTTCTTTACAGAATAGTGCACTCGAAATGATATTTGCCTGCGCTGCACGATGCATTATCATCGTGTTCAATATAATTTTCATGGTAAGTGGGTTTATTGCCAAATGTCATAAGTCACATTTTCTAAGTAAAATTCAGAATTTCTCGTGAAAACATGCTTAGAGACGACCTACTTTATTCTCACTTTAAAGTTTGGCTAACTTGCGGAGCAACCAATTCTATGAATCCAGCCAAGTTGAGGAGGTCACAGTAATATGTTCCACTCACAGGGACGCCGGCCCCCTCTGCTTATTTAGAAGAGAATCCCACATAAGTGAATCCCACATAAGATTTTCGAGACAGTTTAACCTTCTGACCTAAATGGTACCGATGTTTATACTCACACTGATCAGTAAAACCAAATTCATTTTCAGTTGAACACCTCAGTGAAATACCCAAAAAGCAGACTTTGAGCGTTTTGCTGTGATTAAATGTCGCTAATATTTAAAAACACTGGTCATAATTAAACTACGAACGGCAACTTTAAAGACGGTGAATTATTGGGTAGTCTTTCAAATAAGTCTAACTATAATATAAGAAAAATAAGCAAAACAAAGCCGCTCTATTGAAGAGAGAAAAATTGAGTTTCTGTTTGGCTTTGGCTTATCAAAAACATCCCCTAACTACCAACTGCCTTTCAAAATACAATACCGTCCAGACGGTATCCTTTCTTCGTGTAAGGAAGCTACACATCCGCGTTTGGTCTCATATGTTTCCCTAACCTCTTTCTAAATGTTGTACATAAAATTCTTGAAAAAAAAACTGCTTTTCTTTCTAGGTGCACTTTTAAACAAGTTATCCGAAAAGGCAAAAGGCCTGAAAAATATTTGCATGTTTCCCATAGTTATCTTTTCATTCACTCTTGCGCTTCTTGTCCACTTGTACTACAGTGTTTATTAGGTGGTTGGAGGAGAAGAACCTTGACCTATTCGATAAGTTATTTGGCTCTTACAGAACATCTTGACATCCCACGCGTATGTGGTGAATGTGATGGACAGGACAAAGATATAATTGTACAAAATACTGACTATCAACTTTTATGACTTCGCAACACTCCAGAACTTGCTGCTCATCACAGATCACCTCGGAATTGTATCGCTCATTACCCAAAAATTTTCCCAACTTCACACAATTTAGACGTTTTCACTCAAAGAAAACTAGAGTATTCATTTTTGCATTCATGAGCTGACCGCTTCGTCTACTATAATTAAAGAAAATGCAGGCGTTTGTTCACAATTACTGTGCGCATTTTGGAGATGGCGGTAATAATCGATTATACCATACCGGAGACTTGCCAAATCCCTGATTGAACCAAGCAAGCTCCCTCATCCGTGGGCTTTTAAAGCGAGTTGATAGCAAGACTTAATCCTACCAGCCTGCAGTTTAGAAATTCTAAATCGTTTCCTGGAAAACAGAATAAAAATCAGCAGAAATTTTCTCGCCGAAACTAGTCAATAGATATCAAACATATGAATGGAGTTCATCTTCCTGGGAAGCACGACGAGTGCAGTTTGTACTTCTGTCCGGGGTTCCGAGAAAAGTCAGCAAGGCATTATATGGAAAGCGTCATATTTTTTTGTTTTTCTGCCGACAGGACTAGATATGTAGATCCACTACTAAGTCCAAGCCTATCGCCCTCACGCTGTTCGTTGCCTTTGTCACCTATAGTAGATGAAGACAAGTGAGGTCACTTCTGAATTCACAAATCAGTTAGCGTAACCATCATCTTCACCCCGTAAAACCATACTACCAATTAGGGGTTTCTACTTCTAAAAGAAAAATGAGACGCCAAAAGACATTTTTAATGGCGAGACGACTTTTGTTGATGCCGGGTACACGACAACAATTCAGTTTCTGCACCGATTATAGGCAGTGTATTGGAGCTGTTTAGTCTCAGGTGGCTGTTTCTGAATGGGTCAAAACTTTAAGCCAACGCTTTTAATTCATTAGATTCTTTCATAGCGTATAGCGTTCTGTTTCGGCATGACCCGTTGTAACCTGATAAATAAGCATACTAACGGATCCACTTAACCCGGACAGCTTCAAAGATTTCACTTGGATAATTAAGCCAGCTTACTCCAGCGTGGTTTGTATTTACATTACGTGTTGTTAATAACATCTGAGCTAAATTACATTTGGGCTTACGAAGTGCGTTATGACTTACATTTGAATGCAGAGCCATAATAACGTTCATCTGTTTGGGGCGTGGGAAAGAGAACCTTTTCTATTGGAAAATAAGACTTGTCAAGTGATGCCAATGGTCGTTGGCTTGTTCGCTGAGCTGGGCAGTTTGGTTGCAAATGTTTCATCACGCTACGCTACGCACAACTACGCACTGATGATGTCACCTCGATTGGCGATGAAACAAATGCAACCAAATTATTCAGATCAGCGAACAAGCCAACGACCATCTACGCTACCTGAGCTACCGACATTCTCCTCTATAGTGACAAACATGTTAACAGTTCGCCCTTAAATGACGAAGCATTAGCATACACAAAGATAGAGGACGCACCATTTAAGATTGAATTTAGTGCCCTGATAGGTGTTCAGCCAGAAACAAATACACCTGTTTTTGTGACTAGCCGATCGGAAGGTAGGATGTCATGTCACTGCGACTGAAAACATCTGTTGACTGCAAAGGATGACTAAACAGTTGTTTGAATAATTTAAGGGCACAACCGTTATAATCGTGCTGAGAAATACCCTCTAGTAAGCAAGCAAACCAAAGCTGATCACATCACAGTCTGTAAATACTTGTATCCTAGATAAACTGTGGGCTTCAGACGGTCCTAAATAAAAAATGCAGAATAGTATCCACAAGGCTTATGCAGTATTTTTTGTAAACTTGATTTGCCGATTTCTCACTTGGCAGAATGGACAGCTTTGAGTAGAAACCGCAGTACTGGAAGTACATTACAAGCAGAGCAGTCACTCGTAAGTGGATAAGCTATTTGTTTGGAGGCAATAACTCTGGCAACAAAAATAACTTGTCAGACGCACAAAAAACAGCCATTGCTTGCCCACTCCTATGTGCTATTCTAACGCCATGACGCATGGCTGTTTTAACAACTTATTGTGTACTGACATACAATAGGTAGAAACTGTGCATCTGGTGGCCTGTTCTGAAAAGCTCCATAATATCAATGCCATTGAAAGCAGTGAATACATAAGGCAAATCGTGATATGATGTGATACTGGAATTCTGTTGGCAGACATCTGGCCGTCGGTTAACTAGAAAATTATGGGGAAATCTTGACTCAATGTACAATGCACTGTTGTTTTGTACACACCGGCCTGAATGAGTGTTATTCGAAATTTGACGTATATAAACGATACGAACTTAATCCACATCTGTATATCATTCCACAGCCGAAGTCTAACCACAATTAAATCTTCAAAAAATCACCGTGAAGGTGTTTTTTGCGTAGTATTCGTTAGATTTTGTTGTAACAGACATCTAGCCGAGGAATACTACAACGGCTCAGCGTTCTACGACAAGACAAACAAGTTGGAATTCTATACAAATTTTAAACGCTATCGTCATGAAAAGACTGCCATAGAAAAGGAAGGATTCCATATATTTCCCAAACACCATAGGTAAGGAGTTGTTTTTCGAAAGAGCACAATGAAACCGGATCGACTGAGATGACTTGTGTAACTCGAGGAAGAGAAGCGCTCTATCCTGTTGAATTGTTGGTCATTTACCGTTGGTTACCTAGCCTTGTCTCAATGACAGTAGTCAAAATCCTATCTGAAATTTTAGTGGTTCGAATCTCTCCAGAACTTTAAGTGATGTGCGTCGCCATTAGTTGTCTACAGGAAAAATTAGTTGTCCGACCCTGTTATGCTTTGCAGCATGGTTTCACACCACTTTCAGAATGAATTCAAAAAGAGAACCTTTGAAATTCTCCCACTGTTACTCGGCTACATCCTCCAGAACATTTAAGTTCTTACAAATATCAGTCATTTGATGAAATATTAACGGCTTTCGAAATTCAATAACTGATTGTGTTTTGATTGGAGTTATGTTCATATTTTTTGAAACCACACTGTTGAGAATCTTTTTTCTGTGTCTCATTAAATCCCCACCGACACGACTTAGATTACCGGTATCGGTCTGGCAATCGGGGGTGGTATCCTTGCTTGGAATACAACCGTAATATCGACCATCATTGATCCACACCTAACTGCTGAACAAGAAGAAATCGTCATGGGTATCCTGTATGGACTGCGTAAGTCGTTCTTTTACACCGGTTCCCACTTTCTCCCGCGATGTAGAAAACATAATCCGTTTGGTGCCAATAGGCATTATGACGCCAGCAGGACAGCATAACAGTATGTTTACAAAAAAGGCATCGAATTACTGGGAACTGAAGTTGACTACATAAAAAGTGACACAAAGGTCCTGTTGCCATTCTATATTTGAAACTTGAATACTGTCTGCAGTCCATGATGCGGGGAGCGAAAAGTACACGTGGCCACAGTCATACCACCAAATCACAAATTAGGGGAAAAAACTAGGTGCTCATACTCTTTGACAAAGCCCAAGAGCTCACATTATTCTCAAGGGCAGGCCACCCACCATAAACTTCGCACGAGAGTAAGCGTGCTTTCCTGGGGGAAGCGCAATCGCACACTTAACCTGGCCATGTTAAGTGATTCATGGGACTGCGGCGATCAGATTAGGATGGGTCTGGGCGATATATGGAAACATAAGTAGCTCAGACACATTTCGTTTGTGCGGGTGGTTGATGCTCTCTTTATCGACGCTGGCAGTTGGTTTCCTAACGTTTCGTTAATAATTGACGATGCACTATTAGTACACTTGCCGACGTCGCCAATAACTAGTGCTACCATATTAGGAGCATACCATTTCACACCGAACTCAACTAAAATTTCCAAGCGCAGAGTGGAGCATCAAAATTTGTGCACGAATGTTGACCAAGCTAGGATCGATGCCGTTCGCCGTCCTTTCGAAATACACACACTGAAAAAAATTCCATCATTAAAAACGCGCTCTATGACGTTTTCTCCCATTTTGAGCAATAAATTGTCTGTCCACTAATGCTGTCCCGGAAAGAGGTTCTTGAATACATTCAAGCTTGTCACGTCAGAGAGGCTTGATGGGCAACGCTGTCCCATAATCCAAGCTCAGCTTGATTGTTTGAGAAATTCTTAGGGTGTCCTCTGCCGGGTTATTATACCCGTTTTACGTGACTTTCTGTATTACCAAGTTTTCGCATTATTTTCGCGCTTGAAAACGTGGCGTCCAAACATTACCGATACACGCGGTCAAATTTGACCGCATGAACTGAATTGAATATGAATTGTTACAACATACGGTTATATGACATTTACGTCGGTAGTCCACGTTGTTTTTACAGTGAGCTAGAAATATTAGTTTCCACAAACGCAAGTCCAAACTTACACGCTCTTTTAATTTCAGAGCCCCTGGGATTGGGATTATTCAGCGCGGGAATGGTCATCCTCATACTGTGCCTCCTCGGTGTGATTGGTGCCTGTATGAATAGTCGCTGTATACTGGCTGTCGTAAGTTGCTCATTCCATTCATTAGCATCCAGCAAGACTTATCGTATTGCCAATTGCTGATCAAAATCAACCGACAACCCGAATTATCACGAAGGCAAAGTACATGACCAAATGGATCATACTTATGGACGTCCCAAAAAGGAAAGCCAAACACACGCTACCGACAACCTTAAACCGCCAACTCCGGCAGGTCTTTTTGATCATAGAAGAGCAAGAGATGCCAAAGGTTTGTTCTTTGGTCACATGCTCATCTAAGGAATGACTCCGAGTGGACGTAGAAACCTACCACTAAAGCAGTCTCCAAGCAAGTGACTTTGGAGAAAGAAAGGAGCATGCAAGATATACACATTTCGACAGGAGACTCATGGAATTCCCAGCTGCATGCTTCGTTCATTATATATACTTCAACTCCGAAAAATGCACTTCAATTTCTCGAAAATCGTGCCAACCAAAACATGAGGCAGCATGGTCCAGCTCATTTAGTGGGAGAATAACACAACTAAGGGATTCAGCTAGGATTCAGCCGAGTCTTCCGTTAAAATAAAAAGGATGAGCTGATGAGTGTACTACACAAGTTTTGTAAAATTCGGGTTCAAGTTAAAAGTAAGATTGGTGATAACTTGAGGACGGCGCCTACATGATGAAACTCAAGAAGGACGAAACCGGTTGTACACTGTCCTAAAGTTTCCTGTAACCCTGTGAGTAGTGGTCCTGCAAGTGTATGAGGATCGTGGTTCCACATAATCTTTCATACTGATGACCCATTATCTGAGAAATAATGACTTCTGGTCCCAAGTTATGGCCCAGTGTAACACATTTATTGATTGCATTTTTAGAGTGCATAGGTTGAACAACTTCAAATAGGTTGAATAAAAGTCATCCACAAATATTTTGTGTAGTATTAGGTGACGGAAACTTTGAAAAAATTCCTCAATTACTGACTGTTACTTCGTGTTATTTCGCGCGAATTCTTGTTGATTTTCAAACAGTTCTGAATCCACTGCAAATATCAAAACTCATTTCGTCTTCTCCAAAAGCATACAGTTGCCGGTCTGTTCACCCCACTGCTAGTCGAATTTGTGTTGCTAGGCAAATTCTCGTTTCTGGTTCCTAGAACTTGTCAATTCGTTCATAATTACCCAATGGGTGCTGTCGAGATAAAACCGGTAGTTGACCAGTTACTCTTCTGATTAAGTGATTTGCAACCCACAAGTGAAACATACTGCGTCAAGGAGCGGTCAGAAGATTTTGCTGAAGAGTATTTCAAAATTACTGTGAATAATCGCGTCTCATATAACTCGCTCTTTGGATGTTCAACATCAGCTTCGAAGTTCCCGAATGACTATTAGGTTCGTCTGTGTGTTTCCAAAATATATAGCCATGGTGTTCGATGGACTGATATGTTAAATCAGGCTGACAAATGCGGTCAAACTGTTAGTTAAGCCATGTCGTAACATGCGACATTTCTTAAAAAATATCCTAAAACCCCACTGCTGCGTGGTGCAATCAAGGTCAAGGAAACCAGAAAAGAAGAAAACTGAATAAAAGGTGGGACTTAACATCTAAGTTGTATAACCCAAGAAATTTGTCAAAGGTTTACGATGTCTTATGAAATACAGTCTGACCAGAATGAATTAAAAATCTTACATGGCTAGTGGGGACACGTCGAATTTCACTAGTGATCTTGAATAGGCCAGGAAAATAGTGAACAATACCTCACATTTGAGGCAACTCTATTAAATTTGCTTGCCAAAAAAACAATATAAAAGCAATGTAGCAAAAGCTCAGTGGCTGGAAATGACTTCTTATGCCAAGCTACAAGCAAAACGGTCGTCTCAATCGAAGCTTCAAGTACCTTTTTACGTAGCAAACTAATAGGAATGAGTGTATAATTCACCAAAGGAGAGTTTTGATGATGGATTC